GTTTTCGTCGCGCTGTGATGATGTCAGGTACGCGCTTTCGTCGAGCGCGCTTTAGTCTACCGCGGTTTTGTGGTGGAACCCTTTATGACATGGAGTGTAATGACGGAATTTTTGTTACTAGAGAATCTGTGGAAGCTCAGGATGGAGGAGTGAATTTTTACTCCTAGTTCTGGACACTAGAGGTGGCATGGTGGCTCAGTGGGTAAGATGCTGGGCTTATTGGCTGGAAAGCCAACAGCCCAGGTTCGAGATCCAAGTGTCATGTGACGGGGTGAGTTCCCATCCTCGCCCCAGCTTCTGCCAACCTAGCAGTTTTGAAAGCATGCAAATGCAAATAGAGAAATAGGTACCACTTTTGTGAGAAGGTAACAGCACTCTGTGATGTCATGCTGGCCACATATTTGCAGAAATGTCTTCTGACAACACTGGCTGTAGGGCCTTGAAACAGAGATGAGCACCTGTCCCGTAGAGTGGGCAATGATTAGCGGAGTAAAATCCACAGGAGACTCTTCTGGATACTACAGGTAGTCCTCAACTTATGACCACAATTGAGCCCCAAATTTATGTTTGCTAAGTGAGAAATTTCCTAAGTGATTTTGGCCCCATTTTATGACTTTTCTTGCCCCGTTTGTTAAGTGGATCACTGAAGTTGTTAAATTAGTAACACGGTTGTTAAGTGAAGGTCGCAAAAGGCGATCCCGTGACCCCGGGACACTGCAACCGTCATAAATCTGAGTCAGCTGCCAAGTGTTCGAATCATGCGACCATAAGGACCCTGCCACGGGCCTAAGTGGTGAAAAATGGTGACAAGTCTCGTTTTTCAGTGCCGCTTTAAGTTCGAAGGGTCACTAAGCAAATGTAAGTTGTAAGTTGAGGCCTACCTGTACAAGGTTGGAAAATGCAGGTGAATTGTCTTGCAACAGTTTTGGAAGCGTTGGGGCGTTGAAGCGGTGTCAACATGGAAGTGATCTGGATTGCATCTCATTGCAGCACTTCTTCGAGGGTGTTGAAGCCCGTGTGGCTCAGGGCGTGCGAGAAGAGGAAGTGAGCTACCAGCTGGCCTTCAGTAAACAAGAGCTAAGGAAGGTTATTAAGGAGTATCCTGGCAAAGAAGTCAAAAAAGGATTGGACAATCTTTACAGGAAGGTGGACAAACATCTGTGTGAAGAGGAAAACCTACTTCAGGTAATGTAAGAAGGCAGGCTAAAAGAAGGAAACCTATCATGCTTTCCTGTTCTGACCCCTCCCCCTCCGTACAGTGAGNCTTGAAAGCAGCTTCTCTGCCACACACACTCCAGTCCCCCGCTGCTTTCCCCAAACACCTCCCCCATTGCAAATGCAGTGTGCTTTCTGGGTGGGAAATGCATGGAACACAATAAAGCCCACTCACTCACCTCCTGCTGGCAAGCTGGGGTGAGAGGAGCGGAGCCGATCAGAGTCCTCCAAAAGAAGAGGGTTGAGGGAAAGTGTGTGTGCTACAGCATGCCCCTTTGCCTGGCTTCCCTCCTCCTGTGGTCTCCTCAGTGCTCGCTTGTGTTCCCTCTCTCCAGTCTAGTTTGATTGCAGGCGGAGCCACGTTGTCTTTTTCAAGCCTGCAGTCAGTGAAGCTGGGCTGGCTATTTGCATAGCTTTATCCAGCAAAATCAATGTGCACCCTGGGCCAGGGTGCCTTGGGCCTTTCCCATTCTTTCATGGGTACCCCCGGGGGTACTGGTCAGGATTCCTGGCACGGTGTGCAGGTTGATACCCACTCTGCGATCTCCCCATCCATGTTAGGCCATCTCCTCTACAACCAGTTCAGAACCTATGCAAAGGTTCTGTCTTTTGCAGAGTGTCTTGCTATTTCAACCAATTTAACAGGGCCAGAGTCCAGGTAGTCAATTAGCAAGACCAGTGTGCAGGGAGTGGGGTCTTTCAAAAGTTCCGGCAGCAGGCATCTGTTGAGGGCATCAGCATGGTCCAAGGCTTTTCCAGGACAGTGGATGAGTTTGTAGCAATATGCTGTTAAGAAAATGGTCCATCTGGTCATTCTCGGTGAAATGGAAGCAGGAGTAGAGTGGTCCCGAGCCAGTAGACCCAAAAGCAGTTTGTGGTCAGTAATGAGTTCAAATTCCCAACCGTACAAGTACTCATGGAACCACTTGACCCTGGCCACTGCAGCCAGTGCTTCCCTCTCCAGCTGGCTATAGTTCCATTCTGCGGCGGACAGGGTCCGTGAGTAGAATGCGACTGGGGCCTCAGTGCCAATGGGCATGCAGTGGCTGAAGACTGTCCCAACGTCAAACGGAGAAGCATCACAGGTTAACACCAACAGGAGGGTCTGGTTGTATTGAACCAGTAGGCTGTCCGCTGACAGCAACCTTTTGACAGCTGCAAATGCTGCGGCTTCAGTTCTGCCCCAGGTCCATTTGGCTTTCTTTCCCAGCAATTGGTGCAATGGCTTGGTTACAGTTGCCTTCTGTTTTAAGAAAATGCTGTAAAAAATAAGCAATTGGAGAAACGTCTGCAGCTCGGTCTGGTTTCACAGTGTGAGGGCATCCTGGATAGCCTTAATTTTGGTGTTTGTGGGGTGTATCCGAGAGCCATCGACCAGTTATGCTAGAAATTCAACCTTGGGCACAGTAATTTGGCATTTTTCCTTTTTTACACAGAGGCCTTTTTCTCTGACTCTACCCAGGACAACCCTCAGTTGGTTGAGGAGTTGCTCCTTATTTACTGAGGACACCAGAACATCATCAAAATAGGGCATTACCCCGGGTATGCCCTGCAAAAGCCTTTCCCTGACAGTTTGGAACAGTCCTGGTGCCACGCTGACTCCGAATTGAAGCCGGTGACATTTGAATACACCCCTATGTGTCACGATGGTTTGGGCCTCCACAGTCGTGCCATCTATTGGTAACTTCTGGTAGGTCTGTGCAAGGTCTAATTTTGCGAATATTTTTTCCTGGCCCAAGGGAGTGAAGCAAATGGTGTACAATTGGTACAGGGTATGCACTTTGTTGGAGGACTTTATTTAAAGTGCATTTGTAATCCGCACAGATGTGGAGTAACCCATCTGACTTGATTAGGGTTACTATGGGAGTCTCCCACGTGGCATGGTCGACAGGTTCCAGAATTCCCTGGCCAATTAACTTATGTAGTTCTTTATCAATTTTGGGCTGGAGGGTGAAAGAGGCCCTCCGGGGCTTCATCCTAATTGGTGCAATTTTGGGGTCTAGGCTAAAAGATATTGGAGTCCCCACATACTTGCCCAGGTCTCTGCTGAAGACATCCTCGAATTCGCGAAGTATTTCATCTGCACTGTCATCAGTGATGACATTGATGCTGGTCACCCCCATGCCCAGGGACTTGAACCAATCCAAGCCAAGCAGGCTTGGAAGAGCCCCACTGACCACCGTCAGTGTCAGCGGCCCAACAAACTTTTTAAACTGTACCCTGAAGGTACCACAGCCAAGGACAGGGATCGGGATTCCCTAGTAATTGTTGAGCCGTAGGTGTTGGCGTTTTAGCTGGTTCCTCTGGAGGCTGGGGATTGCCTTCTTCAGGGTTGCCCAGGATGCCATGGTCACTGATGATCTGGTGTCGATCTCCATATCGCATGGAGCCCCTTCAATTTTGATTGTGATATGTAGCTTCTTGTTTCGTGGTGTGCTGGCTTGACCAATTTTTGTTTGGTATGTGTCTGATGACTCCGTCCGCTTGTGCTTCCACCGGGGTTTCCAGGGCTCACATCTGGGTGGCCTCAGGTGTCCCAGCTGGCTAGTTGTCAGTTTATACGGTTGCATGGCTGGTTGGCTGGCACGGCAGACCGGGCCAGGTGCCCCTTCCGTTCACACCTCTGGCAGATGGCATCCTTAAATTGGCAGGTCACCCTCACATGACTTCCTCCGCAGCCTGCACAGGGAGGTAGCCGTCCATCAGCCTCATATGTTGTTTTCTTCTTCTCCGATCAAAGGCGGCAGACCTCTTCCTCGCTGTCATACGAGAAATCGCGTTTGGTGTATGCAATGCACGGTGACAGCTTGGCGTGAACTCTATGGACTGCCATGTTTTTGGAGGGTTTCTGTAGACTTGGTCGATGATTCTGTTGCTCAGGCCTCGTCTAATGCATTCTGCAGGGTGAGGTTTCTCTTGGCTAGTAGCCAGCACTGCAGGTTGATGTCCCTCACTCCACAGATAATTCAATTGAGCAACAGCTCTTCCAAGTCTCTGAACTCACAGTACGCCACAGACATTCGGAGCGTGATGACATACTGGTTGATGATTTCCCCCTCTTTTTGGTTATACAAGCCGCTGCACAAACTTGGATGGCCTTGGTGTGTAGTGTGTCTTTTTAAAAAAAATATATACTTTTTTATTTTCCATTTTCATAACATATAATCACATGTATACTATTACATAGCCAATATCCTATTGTATTAAGTAGTAATTANGATGCACAAAAGCTAATTGTAACCAATTGACACACTTTCTACAAGATGTAATGTAAGATGATTATTTTTGTGTGTGTTGTTTGTTTAATAAAAATAAAAAAATAAATAAAAAAAAAGCATTGAAGAATCTGCTAAGGAAATATATCTGAAAGGATGACCCAATAGGTCACATTTTGTCTAGTATTTAACTACATTTTAAATTATTAAAGGTAAGTGCCATATTTATTTCTTGACCAACACCAATTCCCCAGTGGTGGGATTCAAAATTTTTTACTACTGGTTCTGTGGGAGTGGCTTGGTGGGCATGGCCATGTGGTCATGTGACTGGGTGGGCGTGGCCAGGTTGTCATGTGATTGGGTGGGTGTGGCCAATTTAGCAGTCCATTTTGCCAGGGAGCAGGGGGTTGGATAAGATGACCTCTGAGCTCCCTTCCAGCCCTGGATTGCTGTGCTGTTTCAAAGCATCCTCTGAAACTTCATCCAGTGCCAGCCAAGTCTGTGGTCCTTCCTTCCCCTCCCTCCATCCCCCCCCTCTCTCCTTCCTTCCTTCCTTCCTTTTTCCCTTCCCAGTGTGGGAAGCATCCCCCCCAATAAAATATTACTCATAAGAAAAGGCTCCCAGAAAAGCAAAGAAAAAGCAATCTACTAACAAAGAAACCTGCCTGAGGCTCATTCCACATTCCTGCTAGATAGAGATAATGAGCCTATACAGAAAGTGGAAGCCGGATGTTTGGCTCCATTGACACAAGCAGGCAAACAGATCCATAGAAAACCCATTCAAAACAGGATATTTTGAAATTTCCCCGTGGCAAGATTTGGCAGCTAACAAAACTGAGTAGTAGAATCAGAATAAGCAACCCCACACTCAAGACCCGACACAGGACGAAAGTCATTTAGCCACAATGAGAATCACCCAAACCCTTTTAGAAACACAAAGTCCATATTGCACAAACCCCAAAACTTCAAAAACATAGAACCATATAATAATCTTTCCTTTTATCCAGTTTGTGGTTCAGCTGACCCAGAAACGAACTGCTGAATGTCACTTTGCTTCTGCAATTAAAAACCTCCTTCCGAGCAGCTTCCAAAGGCTTTTCAATTTAAACCAGGAGTCTCCAAAGTTTGCAACATTAAGATTTGTGGACTTCAACTCCCAGAATTCCCCAGTCAGCCATGCTGCTAAATTTGGAGATTCCTGATTTAAAGCTGATAAAAGAAATGTCCTTCTGGGTTCAGCTCCAAGTGGGGAAAAAGACACTGGAGACATGGAGGCTGCCAAGGTGGCGTAGTGGTTAGGGTGCAGTACTGCAGGCCACTTCAGCTGACTGTTATCTGCAGTTCAGCGGTTC